AGGCTTGGCGAAGCTATCTGATCAAACAAGAGCACCAACCGTGCAACAGTCTTTCAGCTAATGATGACAGTGAACGAACTGGAATGAACGCCAGGTGTCATGTACCTTCAATTGCCACTCCTGGATCAGCAGGCTACCTCCGTTAATGCTTTCATCTTCAGAGACATAGATGACCGCAATATATCTCGCCAGTGGATCACTTGACATGCCATAAGTTGATCTAATTTCCGTTGGATGGAATACCACGACCAACAGCACTACCAATACAAGCCACCTTAGAACAGTGTTGATGTTGGTCCCCTTTTTCCCCCTCAGTCTAGTAATCAAATTTCACAAAAAAAAAAAAAAAAAAACTGACGGAAATCTCCCGACTATGAGGCGAAATGGAGAGAGAAGAGTTTGGGAGGGATTTAGATTCAATCTTAGAAACGAGAAGAGAGGACTAAATCTTCAGATCAAGAGCCCCTTTGTTGTGATAAGGGAAGAATCATAGCATATATAAAAAATAGTGCCCTACGATCTTCAAATTGTGTACTGAGTTCCATGTAGTGATTACAATTATTATATGTATTCAGGAGTAGTAATCTTTGCATGCAATAGTGCACATAAAAACAAATAGTGTATTAAAACTGGAGAAGCATTGACTGTAGTTTTTCAGAGCGTAATATAATTAAGTTCTGCTTGGGTAAATAATTTTGTGATGAGACAATAAACACTATTCACGATTCTGTATTTTAGGTTATGTAACTTAACCTAAAATACAGGAAGCATATGTTGCAAACTGAGGGTGAAGTTGCTTAAGGAGAGTTCAGTAATAGATATTATAGTAGAGATGTTATATATGGTGCCAATACAACATTACTGACAAATGGGTGAGCAACATAACTCGCATCACCAGTGCAGATGTGAACGTTTTCTGGTTATGCTCGGCCACCTCTTTACTGTAGGTATAGCAAAAGTTGTTTTTTAATGTGTGTAAATATGCGCTTAACCTTATGTTTTTATAGATTTATGTAAGACACCACAGACCTATATTAAAATAAGAAAATTAGTAATTTAAAGTTAACATGAATCGTTAGGAAATTGACTTTTTTTTGTTATACCTCTAAAACAAACACACACACACACACACAGGCCTAGCGTCTAATCGACATGTGCCCAGGACAAAATGGTAACTAACACACACACACACACACACAGGCAAACAAATCACATCACACCACATATGACTATTTGAAAACAAGGAACAATGTGAGGATAGTGTATTATACTCATCAGGTCCTAATTCATGAGGATACCAATGAACAAAGGTTTTGTTTATTTGAGAGAGTCCTGCCACTGGATTACCCATTTACCTCGTAAATAATAGCTTACATAACATCATTAGAGGACATGAGGACATGTGAGCCACAACACAACTAAACTGCAGCAGACACAGGTTAGAGAACAAGTTTTGTGTATAGCCAAACATTATTCCAACAAAAGCTTGGTCTTCCGCCTTTTTTTTCTTCACTATTATTTTCGGCAGTATGCCATTTAAATCGGCCAGATGGGTTGTGTTATTCTGGAAGTCTCTCATCACGTTACTAAATGAAAGTAGAATGCATCAACGCCATGCAAATTTAGTTTGAAATTATAATTTGAAAGACAAGCAGTATTTCGGTTTGCATTTGAGACCGTCTTCAACTAGAGGGGCCTCAGATGCATTCCAAAACAATCGGTAATGTTGTATGGTATGTACTCGGGGAGAATGTCGTTAGGAATGTCAATGAAAGAATATCTTTGGAAATAATGTCAAGGAGAATAACGTTCAGTAGCATTAATATGTTAGGGGAGGATTATACTGAGTGAACATTTCAAGGATAAAATATATTGAAGAGGAAATTCAAGGTGTGGAATTTGTCCTTGAGTGTTGAGGTGGGAGGATAGGGTGGGACAAGAGGGAAGGATGAATTAAGATTGCCTCCTCCCACCTTTCACTCCCTCTCTCTCACACAGTCATCTCCACATCACTTCACAACGTCACTACTCATCTAAGCATTCTATCGGAAACTATCGTCGCAGTCACTTTCAAGTCTGCCGCATCAAGTGGCAGGATAGAGGGAGTGGCTTGTTGCAGTGGTGGTGGTGGTGGCGGCTGCATGACAGCCCATGAGAGTATTGATTCACTAATATACTTCGTCTCGTAAATTAGCTTTCTGTAAATGACACTCAACACTTATATGTTATAACAACGCAATAGTATATGTAGTTTATCTTGCCAGGCTAGTGTCTGCGATATCAAACGTACACACGTCAATTAGGACAAGACATATCTGAGGAGTGGGACCACTGCGGCTAGTTCTAGCAGAGAGCGTTTAGTTCTCCCAGCTGCCACCAGAGCTGGCTATATTCCCGTTTTCTATGAATGTCAACAAAGATGAGCAATAAACATGAGAGAAAGAGAGATTTTTTATCATTCCGGCCGTCTCCAACGAAGGTAGGGTGACCCGACGAAGAAAAAAAACTTTACCTGTCGCTCAATCACTGCCTTGCTGACATTACAAATCAGATGACCCTTCAAATATAACATCCACACCCCTTCCGAGTGTAAGCAGTGTACGTTCCACCTGCAGGACTCGAGTCCGGCTAACCGGTTTCCTTGAATCACTTCACAAATGATACCGTGCTCATTCTTCAAAAGCACGTCAAATCATAAAAAACTGCTTGCCTCCACTCATATTTAACTTGCAAAAACATATCTGTTTGATAACTAAGCCCCTAATACTTAAACCTCCTGTACTGCCTCCCACTTTCTTAGGTCGACTCCTGTCCCTCCTACCCTCCATCCTAGATGTATATGTCCTTCTAGTCACCCCATTTTGCTCCATTGTCTTTGTTTAAACCACTTTAACCACCCCTCACCCCTCTGAATAATATTTTTGGCAACTCCACACTACCTTCTCCGCATAATATTCACACACACATTGCCCTCAAACACACATTTTCTGCCTCCAACCTTCTCGCTGCTACATTCAAAATCAATGCTTCACACCAATATAAAAGTGTTGATACCTCTGTACTCTGGTATATTTTCCGTTTTTTGCCTCTATGAATAAAGTTCTTTGTCTCCACAGACGTCTCAATGCACCACTCACTGTTTTGCCTTCATCAGTTCTGTGGTTCACCTCATCTCTCATAGAACAATCCGCCGACAGGTCAACTCACAGATATCTCAGGAAAGTCACTTCCTCCATACTTCCTCCAGTCTGATATCCAGTCTCTTACTGCCTATATTTTTAACACTCTTATCACCATGCTCTTTCCTATATTCACTTTTAATTTCTTTCTTTTACATACCCTCCCTAATTATCTTACCAACCTGTGCAACTAAAGTAATAACAATGGTTATAAATGACCATAATTTTTAAAGGGGTGGACCGGTAAGCCAGCGGAAGGCCTCGGTCAGATGACCAAAAGCTCCAAAGGCAGGTCATCATCTGACTAAGACCCACGTCAGGAAACATTTGTCCTGTTTCCTGACGAACCTTACCTAACCTAACCTTTGCAACTTCTCTTCAGAATCTTCAAAAAGAACCGCATCATTGTCAAAACAAGCAACTGTGGTAACTTCCACTCCGTACCAGATTCGCAGTCTTTCAATCCCTCACCTCATTCTAACATGACAGGCCATGAGATGCCTTACAGACGGTGGCAGCTGTGACAGGTGGCTTACAGACGGTGGCAGCTGTGACAGGACATAAGGTGACTTACAGATGGTGGTTGCTATGATAGAACATGAGGTGGCTTACAGATGGTGGTAGCTGTGACAGAACATGAGATGGCTTACAGATGGTGATAGTTGTGACAGAACATGAGATGGCTTACAGATTGTGATAGTTGTGACAGAACATGAGAGGGCTTACAGATGGAGGTAGCTATGATAGAATATGAGATGGCTTACAGATGGTGGTAGCTATGATAGAATATGAGATAGCTTACAGATGGTGGTAACTGTGACAAACCATAAGAACCTTACAAACGGTGGTAGTTATGACAGAACCTGCGAGGCAGTAGCAACTATGACAGAACACGAAATACATTACTGGAGGTGTAGAAGGATATGAATAGTTTGCCGATGCTACAAGTAATGCTAAGACAAATACCAATTGTAGTAACGGTAGTTTTGGTGATGAAAACTGTGTTGGTAATTTTGTGTTGGTGGTAGCTTTGTAGTGGTACTAGTAGTGACGGAGATAATCCTGGTGATTTTAGTGGTGGTAATTGTGGTTGTGGTAATGAGGGTAATTATCGCAACCGATTGTAGTAGCTGTGGTGGATTTAGATATGGTGGTGAAGGTTGTAAATCGAAGGAGTATTTACCAATGATGGTAGTTATGGTAATGCAGAAGAACGAGTACTTACCAATGATGGTAGTTATGGTAGTGCAGAAGAACGAGTACTTACCGATGGTGGTAGTTATGGTAGTGCAGAAGGACGAGTACTTACCGATGGTGGTAGTTATGTTAGTGTAGAAGAACGAGTACTTAACGTTGGTGGTAGTTATGGTTGTGTAGAAGAACGAGTACTTAACGTTGGTGGTAGTTATGGTAGTGTAGAAGAACGAGTACTTACCGATGGTGGTAGTTATGGTAGTGTAGAAGAACGAGTACTTACCGATGGTGGTAGTTATGGTAGTGCAGAAGAACGAGTACCATCCGATGGTGGTAGTTATGGTAGTGCAGAAGGACGAGTACTTACCGATGGTGGTAGTTATGGTAGTGCAGAAGATGGTGGTAGTTATGGTAGTGCAGAAGGACGAGTACTTACTGATGGTGGTAGTTATGGTAGTGCAGAAGATGGTGGTAGTTATGGTAGAACCAAAGAACGAGTACTTACCGGTGGGGTAGTTATGGTAGAACTGAAGAACAAGTACTTACCGATGAAGGTAGTAGTGGTAGAGCAGTTGAACAAGTACTTATAGATGGTGGTAGTTATGGTAGAACAAAAGAAGTGCTTACCGATGGTGGTAGTTATAGTAGAACAGAAGAACATTGCCTTCCAGAAGGTCCATATCCTGTCATTGGTATCTGGCGACACTCCCACTGACCACGAGTGGTACAGCTGTTCATCATAGGGCTGCAGGAGGTTGTACACTATCTGGAGAAGATGTACACTCAGCTGAGAGGCTGTACACTATATCGGGAGGATATACACTACCTGGGTGTCAGTGTACAGTATCTGGAAGATAATGTACACTATCTGGGGAGGATGTAAAGTACCTTTAACTGAGAGGCTGTTCATAATCTGGGGGAGGCTGTATAGTATGTAGGGAGGATGGTCACTCATTTGAGATGTACACTCTATGGGGAGGATGTGCATGGATTTGCGTGGATGTACATTTTCTCGGAGGGGATGAACACTAGGGAGGATGTATAGCGGGTGAGGACATAAACTGGGGAGAACGAACAGTATCTGGGGTAGGATGTACACTGAGGTGTTTCCAGTTCTATCTGCTGAAAGTAGTAGTTTACATTGCGACAACGTTTGGCTCTGTGTAGATCAGTGTTGATCTGTAATATCAGAAACCTTGTGTCATTATTAAAGCTCGTTCTGTAACGTATCTTTTCCTCACTGCGGCTCTAAAATTATCTCCAGGCTCTAGTGGTCGGCCTTGCTGTTATTGTACTTTCAGGGAGACGATGGGCAGCCACGGCATGCAGATGGAAGCTTCTCTCCTATACTGCAGCAGCCTTGGCTTGGGAATTATACTTCAAATTTATGTGTGTATATAAAAAGGCAACAATGCTGATTGCATTTACCGAAGTACCACAAAACAAAATGTGAAGGGAATTGTTTACATTAGGTTGTGCTGAAGACGCAGCAGGTTAGGTTAGGTAAGATTGTTTAGGAAACAGGATAAGTGTTACCTGACACGGGTCCTAGCCGTATGATGACCCACCAGTGGAGCTTTTGGTCATCTGACCGAGACCTTCTACTGGCTTACCCGTCCACCACTTTAAAAATTATAACCATTATTAATAATATATCAAGAAGCAGCAGATGAACCGCAGGGGTGTGTAAGGTAGTACTTAACATTGTTCCGGGAATCAACTATCCCTCCATCCATAAGCTAAGCCATCCATTCATTCCTTTATCTGATTTTAGGCAAGTCCATCTATCCACTTGTCTATTCAATCATCAATAATCCACTCATTCATCCATTTCTCTATCCCCTTAGCAATCCACCTATTTATCCAGCCCCTATCTACTCATTTATCGACCTATTTATCCTTCCTGTCGCCTGTCGATCCATTCGCTTATCCATTTCATCTTTCGATAAATCCATTTATTGAAACTCATCCATCCATCCAAATACCTGTTTCATCATTTCTCGATCTACTCGCTTATCTATCCCCTCATTTACCTGTCTATCTAACCAATTCTCATCTCTCCATCCATCCATCAATTTATTCTTCCTCTCATCTATCCAATTATCCATGCAACCCAGTTGTCCTCAGAGATCCTGGACTTCACCTTACGAAAGCAGACAAAGCAAATGCGACAGTAATTACGGACAAGGTAGATTATAGGGGAAAAATAGACATGATATTAACAGACAGGGAAATTCACGGGCCTCTTAACCATAGACTCGTACAGCTCCCCCAGTGTGTTTTAATACAGAGTTAGCATATTCTTTGCTTTTTGTTTTAATTTTGTTATATTAATTTTATTCAAAGATATATTTGTCTTTATTGTAATTTTTCAATATATAAACTTAGTCATGTACCTCCCCAAGAGGTTTGGTTTACTCACCCCTTCCCACCTGGAGAAGTTGAGTCCCTTGTTCTGTACCTGGTTCTCCCAGAGAGACTCAATGAGGTGTGTTCTCACCGTCTCTATGTCTTGTTTCTCTTCGTTCTCGTGCGGTGCTTCCAGGGCAATGAAGAGTAGGGCTCCCAGGGCTGTGTACCCTGCTAGGATCAAGAACATGAAGACGTGTGTGAAGCCCTTTCGAGAGAACCTGTGGAGGAACAACTGGAGTTAAAACCTGTCGGTGAAGAAGGACGTTTCATGGCATCTCCAGCGATATTCAGAACTGTCGGTGTAGGAATCATAACCTTGAATTGGGATCATAAGCAGTAGGTGGAGTCAGAACCTGTTTCACAGGGGGCCTCGCTTCCTGTGATGTTATCTTCAGCCAACACATCTCATGCCTGAACAAGTGTGTGTGTGTGTATATATATATATATATATATATATATATATATATATATATTATATATATATATATATATATATATATATATATATAGCATCATGAGTGTGCCTCTAGAGCGATCAACATTATGAATTGAACAACTTTTTATCAAGGCTGAGTACTGAACACTTCTTTTATAGACACCATCTCTTATAATAAACACCATAAACCATACCACGGGCGGGAATAGAACCCGCGATCAGGGAATCTCAAAACTCCAGACCGTCACGTTAGCCACTGGACCAGCTAGCCACAATAAGATTCGTCCAACTAGGTATATTTCTATACCATAGGAAATATACCTAGTTGGACGAATCTTATTGTGGCTAGCTGGCCCAGTGGCTAACGCGACGGTCTGGAGTTTTCAGACTCTGATCGCGGGTTCTATCCCCGCCCGTGGTATGGTTTGTTTGCAATCGAGTCATTACGATTTCGTGAGTCAGATAAACACCATCTAACGGTAAACGCAAAACTAGATCCAAAACTTGGTCATCAGTTAGTTACAGTATTCATTTAACTTAAACGATTATTAAGGAAGGACCTTATAATGCTAAAGTTCACCAGTACGCTTTGTTTCGTGAACCTTGAACTTATTTCAAGTTCAAGGTTCCTGCGAGTGCTAATAGGCAGTCGAAAGACATTGACTAAAATAAGTAGTTCAAGGAAATCTAAATGGGGAAAAAATTATTCACTAGTGGATATTAAACAATAAGAACAAAGTAACAGTAAAACAAATGTTAGTAAAGCAACTCTAGAACGAGAGTGAGAGTATTTTGAAGTAAGACTGCAGAAAAAGAGCCCCTCATTTGAGGGAGAGGGTAATCAAAGACACGGTGGAAAATTTTGGGTGTGATATTCACATGGTGCTGAGATCTATGTGATAACCATGAGAGTGGTTGGTACTCAGTGAGGAGATCTGTGACAACCATGAGAGTGGTACTCAGTGAGGAGATCTGTGACAACCATGAGAGTTGTACTCAGTGAGGAGATCTGTGACAACCATGAGAGTGGTACTCAGTGAGGAGATCTGTGACAACCATGAGAGTGGTACTCAGTGAGGAGATCTGTGACAACCATGAGAGTGGTACTCAGTGAGGAGTCTGTGACAACCATGAGAGTGGTACTCAGTTGGTGAGGAGATGTATGTGGTAACCATGAGAGTGGTACTCAGGTGGTGAGATCTGTGATAACCATGAGAGTGGTACTCAGGTGGTAAGATCTATGTGGTAACCATGAGAGTGGTACTCAGGTGGTGAGGAGATCTGTGACAACCATGAGAGTGGTACTCAGTTGGTGAGGAGATGTATGTGGTAACCATGAGAGTGGTACTCGGGTGGTAAGATCTATGTGGTAACCATGAGAGTGGTACTCAGGTGGTGAGGAGATCTGTGACAACCATGAGAGTGGTACTCAGTTGGTGAGATGTATGTGGTAACCATGAGAGTGGTACTCAGGTGGTAAGATCTATGTGGTAACCATGAGAGTGGTACTCAGGAGATCTGTGACAACCATGAAAGTGGTACTCAGTTGGTGAGATGTATGTGGTAACCATGAGAGTGGTACTCAGGTGGTAAGATCTATGTGGTAACCATGAGAGTGGTACTCAGGTGGTGAGGAGATCTGTGACAACCATGAGAGTGGTACTCGGGTGGTGAGGAGATCTATGTGACAACCATGAGAGTGGTACTCGGGTGGTGAGGAGATCTATGTGACAACCATGAGAGTGGTACTCACGTGGTGATCTTGAGATCTATGTGACAACTATGAGAGTGGTACTCACGTGATGATCTTGAGATCTATGTGACAACTATGAGAGTGGTACTCACGTGGTGATCTTCTCCACAGCGAAGAGAGTGAACTTCTCGCCGATACTGAGTCCAGACTTGGCTTGTTCCATGGCTGCTTTGGCTGTCTTGGAGGTGTGTGATGCCACCCACTGTGACGCACCCACAGTAGCATCCTTCATGTGTCCTGACACGCTCACTGTCTTGTCTTTAACCTACACACACACACACACACACACACACACACACACACACACACACACACACACACACACACACACACACACACACACACACACACACATACAACGGAGGAGAAAGATAAAATATTAATATATATATATAAGTTAATAACATTATAATTTTATGTTTAAACTATAACCTCCATATATATCCACTCCATCCATAAAGTAATGAATTGACAAATGTGTAGTGAATAAATTCGAACATTTACTGTGGGAAGCCATACGCCAGAGAGTAAGAGAGAGGCAAAGTTACAAAGGGAGAAGAGGAGGGAGGAGGAAGGGAACGGAAAGGAAAATGAAGGTGAGGGGGAGGTGGAGGAAAAAGACTAGGGAGAGGGGGGGAATATAATGATGGAGGCGGTGGTGGTGATAGTGGTAGCAGTTGGGTTGGTGGTAAAAGGGAAGGAATTGTGGTGGTGATGGTAGCAGTTGGGTTGGTGATAATAGGGAGGGAACTGCGGTGGTGGTGATGGCGTGGGTTGTTGTAAGAATGTAGTTGAGGTGGGGGCTGTGGTAATGATGTAATTGAAGTGGTAGCACCCGTAGTGATTGTAGTAGCAGTAGTTGGAAATAAATGGTATAAAATACCGACACAATGGAAATATAAACACACATGCAGTATAATGTGATAGTTTATTGACAACGTTTCGCCCACACAGTGGGCTTTTTTCAAGTCACAAACAGATCTGTTTGTGGTTAGGTAAGACACATATGCAACAGTTAGGTATCTTTATTGTGAAACGTTTCGCCTACACAGTAGGCTTCTTCAGTCAAGTACAGAAAAGTTGATAGAAGCAGAAGATACTTGAAGACGATGTAATCAGTCCATCACCCTTAAAGTTTTGAGGTGGTCAGTCCCTCAGTCTGGAGAAGAGCATTGTTCCATAGTATGAAACAATATGGAGAAGAAGTGACAGGATGGAGCTTTTTATAGCCCCAAGAGGTGAGACGTAGGCCACTAGGAGAGGGTAAGAACTCAGATGTTGAGAAGGCAGGTCCCTCTCAAATCCAGCCTCTCTCACTGGTGGAAGTTGTCGAAGTTGATTGCAGGTCTGTACCAAGATACCCTTGTGTTGCAGTGTCCGACAGATTGAACATTAAAATGGTATAAAATACCGACAGGTTGTTAGGTAAGACACATATGCAACAGTTAGGTATCTTTATTGTGAAACGTTTCGCCTACACAGTAGGCTTCTTCAGTCAAGTACAGAAAAGTTTGATAGAAGCAGAAGATACTTGAAGACGATGTAATCAGTCCATCACCCTTAAAGTTTTGAGGTGGTCAGTCCCTCAGTCTGGAGAAGAGCATTGTTCCATAGTATGAAACAATATGGAGAAGAAGTGACAGGATGGGAGCTTTTTATAGCCCCAAGAGGTGAGACGTAGGCCACTAGGAGAGGTAAGAACTCAGATGTTGAGAAGGCAGGTCCCTCTCAAATCCAGCCTCTCTCACTGGTGGAAGTTGTCGAAGTTGATTGCAGGTCTGTACCAAGATACCCTTGTGTTGCAGTGTCTGACAGATTGAACATTAAAATGGTATAAAATACCGACAGGTTGTTAGGTAAGACACATATGCAACAGTTAGTATCTTTATTGTGAAACGTTTCGCCTACACAGTAGGCTTCTTCAGTCAAGTACAGAAAAGTTGATAGAAGCAGAAGATACTTGAAGACGATGTAATCAGTCCATCACCCTTAAAGTTTTGAGGTGGTCAGTCCCTCAGTCTGGAGAAGAGCATTGTTCCATAGTATGAAACAATATGGAGAAGAAAGTGACAGGATGGAGCTTTTTATAGCCCCAAGAGGTGAGACGTAGGCCACTAGGAGAGGTAAGAACTCAGATGTTGAGAAGGCAGGTCCCTCTCAAATCCAGCCTCTCTCACTGGTGGAAGTTGTCGAAGTTGATTGCAGGTCTGTACCAAGATACCCTTGTGTTGCAGTGTCTGACAGATTGAACATTAAAATGGTATAAAATACCGACAGGTTGTTAGGTAAGACACATAATGCAACAGTTAGGTATCTTTATTGTGAAACGTTTCGCCTACACAGTAGGCTTCTTCAGTCAAGTACAGAAAAGTTGATAGAAGCAGAAGATACTTGAAGACGATGAGTAATCAGTCCATCACCCTTAAAGTTTTGAGGTGGTCAGTCCCTCAGTCTGGAGAAGAGCATTGTTCCATAGTATGAAACAATATGGAGAAGAAGTGACAGGATGGAGCTTTTTATAGCCCCAAGAGGTGAGACGTAGGCCACTAGGAGAGGTAAGAACTCAGATGTTGAGAAGGCAGGTCCCTCTCAAATCCAGCCTCTCTCACTGGTGGAAGTTGTCGAAGTTGATTGCAGGTCTGTACCAAGATACCCTTGTGTTGCAGTGTCTGACAGATTGAACATTAAAATGGTATAAAATACCGACAGGTTGTTAGGTAAGACACATATGCAACAGTTAGGTATCTTTATTGTGAAACGTTTCGCCTACACAGTAGGCTTCTTCAGTCAAGTACAGAAAAGTTGATAGAAGCAGAAGATACTTGAAGACGATGTAATCAGTCCATCACCCTTAAAGTTTTGAGGTGGTCAGTCCCTCAGTCTGGAGAAGAGCATTGTTCCATAGTATGAAACAATATGGAGAAGAAGTGACAGGATGGAGCTTTTATAGCCCCAAGAGGTGAGACGTAGGCCACTAGGAGAGGTAAGAACTCAGATGTTGAGAAGGCAGGTCCCTCTCAAATCCAGCCTCTCTCACTGGTGGAAGTTGTCGAAGTTGATTGCAGGTCTGTACCAAGATACCCTTGTGTTGCAGTGTCTGACAGATTGAACATTAAAATGGTATAAAATACCGACAGGTTGTTAGGTAAGACACATATGCAACAGTTAGGTATCTTTATTGTGAAACGTTTCGCCTACACAGTAGGCTCTTCAGTCAAGTACAGAAAAGTTGATAGAAGCAGAAGATACTTGAAGACGATGTAATCAGTCCATCACCCTTAAAGTTTTGAGGTGGTCAGTCCCTCAGTCTGGAGAAGAGCATTGTTCCATAGTATGAAACAATATGGAGAAGAAGTGACAGGATGGAGCTTTTTATAGCCCCAAGAGGTGAGACGTAGGCCACTAGGAGAGGTAAGAACTCAGATGTTGAGAAGGCAGGTCCCTCTCAAATCCAGCCTCTCTCACTGGTGGAAGTTGTCGAAGTTGATTGCAGGTCTGTACCAAGATACCCTTGTGTTGCAGTGTCTGACAGATTGAACATTAAAATGGTATAAAATACCGACAGGTTGTTAGGTAAGACACATATGCAACATATGTTGCATATGTGTTGCATATGTGTCTTACCTAACAACCTGTCGGTATTTTATACCATTTTAATGTTCAATCTGTCAGACACTGCAACACAAGGGTATCTGGTACAGACCTGCAATCAACTTCGACAACTTCCACCAGTGAGAGAGGCTGGATTTGAGAGGGACCTGCCTTCTCAACATCTGAGTTCTTACCTCTCCTAGTGGCCTACGTCTCACCTCTTGGGGCTATAAAAAGCTCCATCCTGTCACTTCTTCTCCATATTGTTTCATACTATGGAACAATGCTCTTCTCCAGACTGAGGGACTGACCACCTCAAAACTTTAAGGGTGATGGACTGATTACATCGTCTTCAAGTATCTTCTGCTTCTATCAACTTTTCTGTACTTGACTGAAGAAGCCTACTGTGTAGGCGAAACGTTTCACAATAAAGATACCTAACTGTTGCATATGTGTCTTACCTAACAACCTGTCGGTATTTTATACCATTTTAATGTTCAGATCTGTTTGTGACTTGAAAAAGCCCACTGTGTGGGCGAAACGTTGTCAATAAAGGATCACATTATACTGCATGTGTGTTTATATTTCCAGTAGCAGTAGTTGTAATATTATTAGTATTAGCAGTGGTAATGGTAGTAGTCATTAGAGGGGTAGTGGGTAGGGGTAGTAATATTAGTTGTAGTAATACAAGTAGTAGTGGTGGTAGTAGTAGTGGTAATCGTAGTGGTATTTGTCGTAATAATAGTAATAATTAGTTGCAGTAGTTTTAATAATAACAGTAGTATTAAGAGTAGAAATAGTGTTATTATTATTAGTAGCGGTAGAAATATTAGCAGCAGAAATAGTAGTAGTAGTAGTGACGGTAATAATGCTAGTGGTGATAGTATTATTTTCAAAAGAATAATAGAGTGCAAGAGAGAAGCGCTCATGCAACGGGCAGACTTATTCAGCAGTGTATACTTGCAGGTGCAAGCATAAGCCGGACATCACCACTGAATGAACACCCACTGAGAAGGACAGCACATTGTTTAGTCCGTGAGCAGAGTGCACTTATATAATATACCTCTAGCATTTTAACTTTTTTATACACGTATATGAATTGGTAACGAAGCCATATATATTCCAGATTGCACATAACGTAAAAAATAAGCATTTGGTTTGCAAATGATAGTGTGCTTAAAAAGAAATTCTCTGTTTACCATCTCTAGAATGTCTGAAATCTCTTCTTTCTTTCCTTTCTGAAATGTCAATGGTTAGTCACACCAATATTTGTTGTGAATTAAGCCATAGTTAGACTTTCTTTGTCCTCTTTACAGAGACATTCTGCTAGTCTTTAGGACAACAACGATAGTTGTCACTGCTTGCCAAGTAAAAACATTATCTTCTCAGAGAAACGATGTATTACACATTGATGAAGAATAAAAATTAATACTGTGGCTGCAACAACTTAAAAGCTAATCCACAAGTTGGAAAGAAAACTTTTGACTAAGTTGCGGTCAGACCTGAACCATTATCAGAGAAGGTATTGGTCCATTACAAATCGAAAAGTCTAAAGTTTCCTTTACATGTTGGGGGTAAGTTGTAAAGTTAATAAGTTATCACTGTATTGCTCCGACCAGTTCCTGCACGTAGCTGTTGGCACTGAAAAACACTAGAAAAAAAGCTAATGTTAATAAATATATATATAAATCACTTAAATCACAGCACATGGTTCAGAAAAAAAGATGCTCTGAGATACTTCAGAAAACAGTAGATAAAACATGTGAACACAAGCTACTGACTTACAGAACATACGTACAACTGCTACAAACAGCAAAGTTCTACTTAAATTTCTCTAAACCATTATATACGAGAGTACATCAAAAACTTTCTCAGCATGACCAAGAAAAACAGTTTCGAGTCCCATAGGTACAGAAAAAATATCAAAGCACGGTGGCTGAAATAAATCAGTTATCCAACAAATTGAAGACGTTTCTGTCCAAACTGGACAATAATCAAGCAAGGAGTCAAGGAAGGGGAGAAAGCCAGGTTAAAAAGAGGCGTGGACGTAGCCAAGATTTGAGGAAGTCACGCGAATCGTGAATATTAAATCATTTAACAATGTGTGGGGAGAAGCAAGCATCCTCAGAAAGAAATATGTTGTCTATTAGGATCGATTCAAGAAGACTTCGTCTGTGAAGGCTAAAAAGAGGACCAGTTTACAGAATTACTGTGAACTCTAACATGAGGGAAAAGAGCGTTAGTGTCAGCAAGGCTAACACTTATCTTGAATTATTTAAATCTGTCAGAAAGGAAGCGGACTGTTTCACTCCTGTACTGGAGAGACAAGAGCAGCAGGAAATGGAGTTAACATCTGAAGTATTATGGAAAGAGGAGTGGCAGTATGATTCACACTTGTATCAAGTGTATTAGTTTGAACAAATGTATATTCGTTATTCAGACTTCTGATTTTCTCTTATTCCGCACTCGCAACTTGATAATGGTCCAGGCAAGATGACCGAAACACCACATAATTTCATCAATAATATGTAGGTTAAGCCCATAGGGATCCTAAATCCCTTTGGAAATAGGGTTGGGGGATAATTGCGTATGATCTAAGGAAGGGGAGGGTAAGTATAATACCTCTGATCGAGAACCCAGTACGTATTCTCAACCTTACACTAACAGCCTTTCATCAGTCATATAGTTTGTGTCTTACCCATTTCTAGATCAAGCTGAGAACCATTTGACACATCCTCATACTTTTGGGAAAGAGAAACATTTATCTAACTTAAACATAAATGTACCTAGTTATATCTACAGTAATCTAGACCTACGAAAGGCAGAGAAGTATATACAGTAGCTACAAACACGCAAATTAATATATTACAAGTTACGTTAACTAAGTAACCCATTCTAAGGCACTACATATAGCTACAAGGGAACACATACAAGTTACTCTACTCCAAGTTATTTTTCACTAATCCATTCCAAGACATTCGCTGGTTAAGATGTTCCTAAGACTGGCAGAGATTGTAAAACAGAGCTAGCATATTGTAAACAAAACAAGCACTGTGTAACAACCATTTTAGTAGTGGCTTCCATGTCTACAATCAGCCGCTGGCTGGTCTCCTTGGTCGATTCCACAACCTGGGTTTAATGAGGGAAACACAATTTGAGTTTGTTTGTTGCTTTCACAACCCGGGTTAAATAAGGAATGCAGCCTTTTTCTATTGATTGATTCCACAACCCGGGTTTAACTGGGAAACTCGCTCTTGGTGTTTGAGTAACTAAGGATGGTCACGCCGCAGATGATAACAGGGGGAAGTGGAATCACAAATAATTGTCAACCCAGAAATAGCAATAGAGCATAGATTGAATTATAAGGAAAACACACTAACTCTGGCAATAATGGTGATGGTAGCACTAACAGTGATGGTGGCACCAACAGTTGTGGCACTAACTGTAATGGTGGCACTACCAGTGATGGTGGCACTAACGGCGGAGACACCAGCAGTGTTGGCACTTAAAGCAGTGTTACTGACAGTTGCACCAATAGTGATAACTGAAAGTAGTAACAATGATGGCACTAGTATTTATGGTGGCGCTAGCAGTGGCACTAGTGTTTATGTAGAAACCAGCAGTGGCACTAGTATTTGACACCAGCAGTGGCACTAATATTTATGGCACCAGCAATGATTGCACTAGTATTTATGGTGGCACTAGCAATGGCACTAGTATTTATGGCACTAGCAGTGATGGCAGTATTTATGGTGGCACCAGTAATGATTGCAGTAGTTTTTATGGTGGCACTAGCAATGGCACTTGTATTTATGGCACTAGTATTTATGATGGCACCAACATTGATAGCTCTTAGTATTTATGGTGACACTAGCAATGATGACACAATGGTGGCACTAACAATGATGACACAATGGTGGCACTAACAATGATGACATAATGGTGGCACTAGCAGTGGTAATTACAGTTATAATAAATATAACATTAATAATAACGATTATGGAAAAAAAACATTAAAACATGTCTGCCAGCTGAATGATTAAAATAAACGTTAAAATGATGGAAAAACTATATTAATAGATGTATGCTATGTATACTGCAAACAACGTGTAACACTATACTGCAAACAACGTGTAACACTATACTGCAAACAACGTGTAACACTATACTGCAAACAACGTGTAACACTATACTGCAAACAACGTGTAACACTATACTGCAAACAACGTGTAACACTATACTGCAAACAACGTGTAACACTATACTGCAAACAACGTGTAACACTTTACTGCAAACAACGTGTAACACTATACTGCAAACAACGTGTAACACTATACTGCAAACAACGTGTAACACTATACTGCAAACAACGTGTAACACTATACTGCAAACAACGTGTAACACTTTACTGCAAACAACGTGTAACACTATACTGCAAACAACGTGTAACACTTTATACTGCAAACAACGTGTAACACTTTATACTGCAAACAACGTGTAACACTTTATACTGCAAACAACGTGTAACACTTTATACTGCAAACAACGTGTAACACTATACTGCAAACAACGTGTAACACTATACTGCAAACAACGTGTAACACTTTATACTGCAAACAACGTGTAACACTATACTGCAAACAACGTGTAACACTTTATACTGCAAACAACGTGTACCACTTTATACTGCAAACAACGTGTAACACTTTATACTGCAAACAACGTGTACCACTTTATGCTGCAAACAACGTGTAACACTCTACTGCAAACAACGTGTAACACTTTATACTGCAAACAACGTGTAATACTATACTGCAAACAACGTGTAACACTATACTGCAAACAACGTGTAACACTTTATACTGCAAACAACGTGTAACACTATACTGCAAACAACGTGTAACACTTTATACTGCAAACAACGTGTAACACTTTATACTGCAAACAACGTGTAACACTTTATACTGCAAACAACGTGTAACACTATACTGCAAACAACGTGTAACACTTTATACTGCAAACAACGTGTAACACTTTATACTGCAAACAACGTGTAACACTATACTGCAAACAACGTGTAACACTTTATACTGCAAACAACGTGTAACACTATACTGCAAACAACGTGTAACACTATACTGCAAACAACGTGTAACACTTTATACTGCAAACAACGTGTAACACTATACTGCAAACAACGTGTAACACTTTATACTGCAAACAACGTGTAACACTTTATACTGCAAACAACGTGTAACACTTTATACTGCAAACAACGTGTAACACTATACTGCAAACAACGTGTAACACTATACTGCAAACAACGTGTAACACTATACTGCAAACAACGTGTAACACTATACTGCAAACAACGTGTAACACTTTATACTGCAAACAACGTGTAACACTTTATACTGCAAACAACGTGTAACACTATACTGCAAACAACGTGTAACACTTTATACTGCAAACAACGTGTAACACTATACTGCAAACAACGTGTAACACTTTATACTGCAAACAACGTGTACCACTTTATACTGCAAACAACGTGTAATACTTTATACTGCAAACAACGTGTACCACTTTATGCTGCAAACAACGTGTAACACTATACTGCAAACAACGTGTAACACTTTATACTGCAAACAACGTGTAATACTATACTGCAAACGTGTAACACTATACTGCAAACAACGTGTAACACTTTATACTGCAAACAACGTGTAACACTATACTGCAAACAACGTGTAACACTTTATACTGCAAACAACGTGTAACACTTTATACTGCAAACAACGTGTAACACTTTATACTGCAAACAACGTGTAACACTATACTGCAAACAACGTGTAACACTTTATACTGCAAACAACGTGTAACACTATACTGCAAACAACGTGTAACACTTTATACTGCAAACAACGTGTAACACTATACTGCAAACAACGTGTAACACTATACTGCAAACAACGTGTAACACTTTATACTGCAAACAACGTGTAACACTATACTGCAAACAACGTGTAACACTTTATACTGCAAACAACGTGTAACACTTTATACTGCAAACAACGTGTAACACTTTATACTGCAAACAACGTGTAACACTATACTGCAAACAACGTGTAACACTATACTGCAAACAACGTGTAACACTTTATACTGCAAACAACGTGTAACACTATACTGCAAACAACGTGTAACACTTTATACTGCAAACAACGTGTAACACTTTATACTGCAAACAACGTGTAACACTTTATACTGCAAACAACGTGTAACACTATACTGCAAACAACGTGTAACACTTTATACTGCAAACAACGTGTAACACTTTATACTGCAAACAACGTGTAACACTATACTGCAAACAACGTGTAACACTTTATACTGCAAACAACGTGTAACACTTTATACTGCAAACAACGTGTAACACTATACTTCAAACAACGTGTAACACTATACTGCAAACAACGTGTAACACTTTATACTGCAAACAACGTGTAACACTATACTGCAAACAACGTGTAACACTTTATACTGCAAACAACGTGTAACACTTTATACTGCAAACAACGTGTAACACTATACTGCAAACAACGTGTAACACTATACTGCAAACAACGTGTAACACTTTATACTGCAAACAACGTGTAACACTTTATACTGCAAACAACGTGTAACACTATACTGCAAACAACGTGTAACACTATACTGCAAACAACGTGTAACACTTTATACTGCAAACAACGTGTAACACTATACTGCAAACAACGTGTAACACTATACTGCAAACAACGTGTAACACTTTATACTGCAAACGTGTAACACTTTATACTGCAAACAACGTGTAACACTTTATACTGCAAACAACGTGTAACACTATACTGCAAACAACGTGTAACACTTTATACTGCAAACAACGTGTAACACTATACTGCAAACAACGTGTAACACTTTATACTGCAAGCAACGTGTAACACTTTATACTGCAAACGTGTAACACTATACTGCAAACAACGTGTAACACTATACTGCAAACAACGTGTAACACTTTATACTGCAAATAACGTGTACCACTTTATGCTGCAAACAACGTGTAACACTATACTGCAAACAACGTGTAACACTTTATACTGCAAACGTGTAACACTTTATACTGCAAATAACGTGTACCACTTTATGCTGCAAACAACGTGTAACACTATACTGCAAACGTGTAACACTATATACTGCAAACAACGTGTAACACTTTATACTGCAAACAACGTGTAACACTTTATACTGCAAACAACGTGTAACACTATACTGCAAACAACGTGTAACACCACTAATCACTAAATGTATACTGCAAACAGCGTGTAAAACATTGTATAGTGTAAACGTGGAATACTGCTAATCACTTCATATATACTGTAAACAACGTGTAGCACCAGTCACTTGTGCACTGCAGACAAGATGTATAAGAGCCATTGAGGACGTCATGAGTCATCAAACGAAATGAACATTATTTCCTGACTATGATGATTTACCACGTTAATGTAATCAGTGACGGTTTAACATTAACTACCTAGTGTAACTATCCGGTTAGCTTCCCTGTGTAGCAACCTGGTGTAACTACCCTGTAACTACCTGTGTAACTACATGGTTCAACCACCTGGTTTAACCCTTTCACTCTGTCCCATAATATTACGGCTTGCAAGCCAGTGTCTGTCCCGTATAATTCTAGCGGCTTCCAATCTTGCGGGAGAAAACTGATAGGCCTACATATGAGAGAATGAGCCTGAGTGGTCAATGTGCGCAGTATAAAAAGAATCCTGCAGCAAGCGGTGCATAATGAGGAAAAAAAAAATCCCACCGTGTTTTTGGTTTAAAACAGCGACTTTGTGGTGTATTTTCGTATGGTATTTATGGTTATATTCTCGTTTTCTTGGCCTCATTTGATAGAATGGAAAAATATATTACAGAAATAGATTTGATTTTGAAATGTTTACAGATTAAAAGTACCTTGAAATTGGGCTCAAAATAACAGAAATGTTCGATTTTTTGCCGATGTTCAAGAGTAAATTAATCACATATCGCGTCCAATACACATCAACTGGTGAGTTTAATATGCTTTCACAAAT